AAAAGAAGAAGAAGAAGAAAAAAAGACTCGACTGAAGGCAGTGACCTAAGAATGAAGGAAGCAATGACAGCTGGCGACTGTTCCACAAGAACGTGCAAAGCCCCTGCAGGCCTGGGAGGGTGCAGAGCCTGCACCTCAGATTTGACTCATCTCATAGAATCATGGAATTTAAGCAAACCTCTTCCAGTATGAGGGAATCTTGAATAGAAACTCTAATATCTTAATCCCCAGTGTAACAAACTTTTACTATATTGTTCTCATGATGACAAATGGCTCATCAGAAAATGGATTAAAAGTAGAATTATTGTGAAAGCAGACTGGCTTATTTAAGACAAACAATCTGAAAACTGTAATCTAAAAAGTAAACATCCTTATATATATATATATATATATTTTTTTTTTTATGTATTCATTCTCTTTGCTTTGAAGCTTTCACTGTATGACCTTTGTCCATTTTATCTGTCACCATATTTTAGTGGTGCCATGCAGTGACTTTTGTAGAGCAATATCTCTCAAAGTGTGCAATGACAAATACTTATTGTCAAAAGAAAAGATTCTGTAGTCAAAGAAGTTTGGAAAACTTTAATTTTTTGATTAAGCAAAGCAAGAAGTCTGAGCTTCATTTATTGGTTTACTATGAAAAACGTTAGAGGCTTTATGATGTGCAAGAAGGACGTGTGTCATAATATTTCTCAAACCTCTTTGACTTTCAATACTTGCTTTTTTGTTTTTTTTTTCTTCTTTTGTGGAGAAATTTCAAAAACTTTGGAAAATACTTTTTAAGTGAGATTGAGAAGTTTGTTAAGCAAGATGACAAATACTAAAAATATACACTCTAAATATAGCCATGATGAATACTAAATAAATGCAGTGTTTTTATCAACATTATTCAAGGATATCCAAAGTTTTTCATGGCATAAAATGATGTTTTTCTCCTCAGTAATATAATACATGTGATGTTCCTGGAAACTTAAAAGAAAATCATCATGTATATGCTCTCGTATCAGTTTCATGCTGTATTTTTCATGTAGAAGAAAGAATTTGGTATCTTCTCAGGAATACATTGCCACATAAAAATATGTAAATTCCTTCAGATAAATTCTCACCTTCTGCAGAATGAGTCAAACAGCACGGGGAGAAGCTGAATCCAGTGTTCACAGTGAGTGACATCACTCACTGTGCACAACTGTACTCCAGTCTGGGTGACACAGTGACACTCCATCTCAAAAAGGAAAAAAAAAATGAAGTATGGATGTATATGTTAAGTGGTAGAATGTCCCTTGAAGGTAAACTAAGATAAGTTAAAGATGCACAATATGAATCCTATAAACAACCACTAAAGAGAGTTACAGCCAATAAATCAGCAAAGGAGATTAAATGGAATCTTTTTGTTTGTTTGTTTGTTTGTTTGTTTGAGATGGAGTCTCACTCTGTTGTCCAGGCTGGAGTGCAGTGGTGCGATCTTGGCTCACTGCAAGCTCTGTCTCCCAGGTTCATGCCATTCTCCTGCCTCAGCCTCCCAAGTAGCTGGGACTACAGGCACCCACCACCAACCCCAGCTAATTTTTTTGTATTTTTAGTAGAGACACGGTTTCATCATGTTAGCCAGGATGGTCTTGATTTCCTGACCTCGTGATCCGCTCGCGTAGGCCTCCCACAGTGCTAGGATTACAGGTGTGAGCCACCATGCCTGGCCAAATTGAATCATTTAAAAAAAATTTAATTTATTTAACAGAAAGCAGAAAAAGAAAATGAAATAATAAAAAGAAATAGTAAAATGATAGAATAAATCCCACTATATCAATAATCGTATCTGTAAATGTTCCAAACACTCCAATTAAAAACTGATTGTCAGATTGAATTAAAAAGGAAGACTACTATAGTCCATCCACCAAAAACCCACATTAAATGCAAAGACACAATTAAGTTAAAATAAAAGGAATTTTAAAAATATTATGCTAACATGAATCCAGAGAAAACTGAGTGGCTATATTAATATCAGACAAAGTAGTTTAGACAAAGAATGTTGCAAGGGGTAATGAGGGTCAATCATAATGACAGAAGGACTAGATCCTCCAGCAGATGCACACAACTAAATGTTTATGCACCTAATAACAGAGCTTCAAAATATCTCAAGATTCAATTGATATAATGGCAAGGATAAACAGATAAATCCACAGTTATAGTCTGAGATTTTAACACTTATTTCTCAATAAGATGAAATGTGTAGTTAGAATGCAAACATAAAAGACATGATTTACTTGATCTAATTGACATTTATAGAATATACCAAAAATGGCAGAATACACATTCTTTGCAACACACATGGAACATTAACCATTCTAGTCCATAAAACAAGTCTCAATAAACTTAAAATGATTCAATTCTTACTGTGCTCTACCGACAATGGAATTAAAAAGAAGTCAATAACAGAAAGACATCTGGAATCTCCTTACGTATTTGGAAACCACATAAAACAATTTTACATTTCTTGTGAGTCAAAATAGAACTAACAAATTATAAATTATTTTGAGCTGAGTGTAAAATAAAACACAACACTTCAAAATTAGTGGAATCGCCCTCATATGACATTTAGAGAAAATTATATAAGAAAATTAGAAAGTTCTTCAATCAATGACCTCAGCTTCCACTTTAAGAAACTGGAAAAGGCCAGGCACAGTGGCTTATGCCTGTAATCCCAGCACTTTGGGAGATGGAGGCAGGCAGATCACCTCAGGTTGGGAGTTCGAGACCAGCCTGACCAACATGGAGAAACCCCATCTCTACCAAAAATACAAAATTAGCTGGGCATGGTGGTGCATGCCTATGATCCCAGCTACTCAGGAGGCTGAGGCAGGAGAATTGCTTGAACCCAGGAGGTGGAGGTTGCAGTGAGCCAAGATTGTGCCATTGCACACCAGCCTGGGCAACAAGAGCAAAACTCTGTCAAAAAAAAAAAAAAAAAAAAAAAAAAACTAGAAAAGAAAAAAGAAACAACAGTAAGCAGAAGAAAGGAAGTAAAAAGCATCAGTGTAGAAATCAACAAATCAACACAATACAAATAGGCTAAAATCATTTACAGGAAATAAATGAAACCAAACTCTGTCTCTTTGAGAAGGTTCATAATATTGATAAACCTCTATTCAGGCTTATCAGGAAAAAAAAAAGAGAGAAAACAAAAATAACCTATCAGGAATAAGAAGTAACATAGCAACAGATTCAACAGATGCTAAAGAGATAATAAATGGTAGTTATGAACAACATTGTGCCAACAGATTTGACAACTTAGATGAAGTGGACAAATTCCTCTGAAGACACAATTAGCTAGTCTCACTCAAAAAGAAAGAGCCAGAATAGCCCTGTATCTATTAAATAAATGGAAGCTGTAATTTAAAACCTTTCCCCAAGGACTCCAACGCTAGGTCTAAATGGCTTCAGTGGAGAATTCTACCAAACATTTAAGAAAAACATGATACCAATTCTACTAGTTCTTACCAATTCTTCTAATTAAAGAGAAAATGGAAAAAGGAAGCCTATTAACCTCTTGCACTTTTCTCAGACTTCTAAGTGTGATACTGGAATGACCAGTTCATGGGGAGAATTTTATATTCTTTACAGGTGAATGAGCTACAACTGCAGGCAATTTCAGTTTCTTTCCAAATTTCTTCAGGGGAATATCTGAGGAAAAATAAAGTGCTTTTGAAATATAAACACTTTCTAGGAATAAAGGAATGTTGCTTATACATGATTTTACCACTAGTGTCATGAAAATTGTGTGGAGGACTGTGGCTATAAACACAGTGGTTTGAATTCTATGTAAATTCATAGTTTTTTATTGTTATTTTTAACTATAGAAAAGTTCTGAAGGTAGTAATTTTATTTGCCAGTGTTTTGGAAACTTTATTTTTACATCTGAGGAAGATTTGCTGGAAGATGTTATTTGTTTGGGGTAATGCAAAATATTTCTGGAAGACACAAGTGAAATGGGCCCTCACTGACCAAGTAGTTTGTGTAGATGTAGTGATTAAACTATTTAGTAGAAGGGAGGTTGCAAAAATATTTGACGAAATGAAATATGTGCCTGCAGTGCAAAACTATTGATCCTGCTCACAAACAGGCATATTGAGAAAGATTTCTGTACGCCTGGTAGAACCACCTCTGTGGGCCATCTTAAGCACTGGTGAATAATGAACACTTTTATGCATTATATTACATCTGTATTATATTACATCTGTATTAATGCCTTAATACTCTTGCCTTAATATTCTTCCAAGGTTTAGCACCTGGTCCTTTTAATAAATAATAAATAGGTTATGGTTAATGTTTTTTTAAAAGGTACTCAAATATGTCAACTTTATTGTTTGTAGATACACACCCCTTTGTACTGAAAATTGTAAAAATAGCATAAAATTTCCTCTTATTGTAATCCAAATTTTTGAAAGCCAGAAAATCTAATTATGCTCTAGCCAAGCTACCTAATGCTTTCTTTATCCACAAGTAACTTTGCTTCAATTTCTTGATGTTGGGTTTCATCTCACTGACTTTGGGCTTCTAAATGGGAATACTTATGTCCTCTTGGCTTCTTTGGGTCAACTCAAACTGTAGAGCTAAAGTTATTAAAATACATTCAAACTACACAGATCCCTTACAAATTACTAGTATCATGGTAGGAAGGAAAGATACAAGAAGAAAAATACATACTAGAACTCATTATCAAAATTATGGGTGTATCGTCTATACTAGCATCGAGTAGCTTTCCCAACCTGCTACACAAAATTACCAGCAAGAAAAAAAAGTGCAAGAATAAGGTTTATGACTGAAGTGGCTCGGTGTCATGATTTCCTACTCTAGCATTCTCAGAAGGATCCCATCCATTAAACACGCAGAAACTGCAGCCTATCCAAATGTGATCTGCTTAATCAATAATCAACAGTTCACACTGAAGGCAGTATCTTTGCTATACGTACTTGTCATAATGAAGGACGGTGTACAAAGAACAGTTGAGCCAGATGAACACTTTAATTTTGATGCCAAAATCAATCACTTTTTGTCATAATACCAGGCATAGACAATGGTTGATCCAGTGCATACTGTATTACTCCATAATTTCCTGCAGTAGACATGTCATAATTTGACATACTCCTTGATCATTAACACATTGCAGTAGTCAGATATACTTGTCAAAATTAAGCTAAATGTCAGTGGAAGACTCATTGAAGGCTTGGAAATCTTGCAACTTGCTCTCAGAGACACTGCCAACAGAAATGATAAATGTCATTGGGCTGTGGTAATATTCTCACTGATGTATCAATAAATAAAGGGATGCTGGGGAAAAAATGTTCTTCCAGATACCTGCCCACTCTGAAACTAGAGTTCGTGAAAGATAGCTCCCTAGACACTGCAGCCATTTCCTGGGAGGACTCTGAGCCGTGATTTGAAAAACAGAATGCACTCATCTGCCATTTTTCTTCCAAAATTGCTTGTGAATATCCTGTATGCTATCCAAGTCTCTCCACCCTTGTAGTCTTTGAATAAATTGGTCCTTTTTTTGAGACAGAGTCTCTCACTCTGTGGCCCAGGCTGGAGTGCATTGGCAATATCTTGGTTCACTGCAACCTCCCCCTCCCAGGTTCAAGCGATTCTCATGCCTCAGCCTCCCAAGTAGCTGGGATTAAAGCGTGCACCAACACGCCTGGCTGTGTTCTTTTTCCTTTATTCTCTTCTTTCTTCTTTTTCTTCTTCCTCTCCTCTTCTTTCTTCTCTTCTTCTTCTTTCTTTTCTTCTTCTTCTTCTTCTCTTCTTCTTCTTCTTCTTCTTCTTCTTCTTCTTCTTCTTCTTCTTTCTCCTCCTCCTCCTCCTCCTCCTCCTCCTCCTCCTCCTCCTTCTTCTTCTTCTTCTTCTTCTTCTTCTTATTATTATTATTATTTGAGATGGAGTCTTGCTCTGTCACCCAGGCTGGAGTGCAGTGGCACGATCTCTACTCACTGCAAGCTCTGCCTCTTGGGTTCACGCCATTCTCCTGCCTCAGCCTCCGGAGGAGCTGGGATTACAGGCGCCCGCCACCATGCTGGCTAATTTTTTTGTTTTTAGTAGAGACAGGGTTTCACCATGTTAGCCAGGATGGTCTCGATCTCCCGACCTCATGATCCACCCGCCTCAGTCTCCCAAAGTGCTGGGATTACAGGTGTGAGCCACCGCACCCAGCCAAGAGTGGAGAAGTTAATCAACATACTTAGTTAGCTAGCTTGAACAGACATCCCAGTATTGATAGAGTTGTAATCTTAAAAAAAAAAAAAAAAGCCCAACAGTCATGGGATGAAAAAGTATTTGAGTGAGGATGAAAGAGTCAAACTCTCACTGTGCACATGAAATCACAAATATGTACACTCGCAACTGTCCTGATACTAACACAACATTTTGGTTTTCTTATAATATTGAAATTTTATTGAATATTGAAACAAATTTTATTGAAGTTGAGAGTTGTATCTTCTTTAACTGTGACAGCCAACACATATGTGCAATAAAAGCTATAAGAATATTTGCATTTGACCCATAAAATAAAAAACTTGATTTAATAATTTGGCAGGTGTTTTGTTTCATTTAAATTTGACTATTTTTCTTTTTTGATAGATTGTTCCTATTGCATTACTCAAAGGTGGTAAAAAAAAATCTCTAATTATGTGGTTGATTAGATAACATTTATTATGTATATTTATTTGTGAATATTTATAATGAAGATTTATTAAATATGTACATATTATACATTATACCAGGTACACATTGTACATATTATACATTACATAAAGTAGGGAATACACATTGCCCATGTGAAGTTTATAATATACCTGGAAAAATAATACCAACATACATACTGTATGATTCTAACTACTTTTTTTTTTCTTCTTGAGATTGAGTCTTGTTCTGCCGCCCAGGCTGGAGTGCAGTGGCATGATCTTGGCTCACTGCAACCTCTGCCTCCTGGGTTCAGGCGATTCTCCCGCCTCAGCTTCCTGAGTAGCTGGGATTACAGGCACGTACCATCATGCTCAGCTAATTTTTATATTTTCAGTAGAGACGGGGTTTCACCATGTTGGTCAGGCTGGTCTTGAACTCCTGACCTCATGATCCTCCCACCTTTGCCTTCCAAAGTGCTGGGATTACAGGTGTGAGCCACTGCTGCTAGCCAATTCCAACTACTTTTCTGTACTGACTTCTCTTACTCATCAATATGTATTTAAGATTCCTCAATGTCTTTTTATGGCATGGTAGTTCCTTTCTTTTTATTGCTGAATAATATTTCATTGTATGTATTTACCACAGTTTGTTTGTCTATTAACCTATTGAAGGAGATCTTAGTTGCTTCCAAGTTTTGGAACCAGTGAAATGTTATAAGGAATGATGCATTTCTTTAATTTTGAATTGTTATAATAATATCTTAGGCCAGGTGAAGTGGCTCATGCCTGTAATCCCAGCACTTTGGGAGGCTGAGGCAGGCGGATTACTTGAGGTCAGGGGTTTGAGACCAGCCTCGCCAAAATGCCAACATGGTGAAACTCCGTCACTACTAAAAATGCAAAAATTAGCTGGGCATGGTGGGACGCAACTGTAATCCCAGCTATTCAGGAGGTTGAGGCAGGAGAATCGCTTGAACCCAGGAGGCAGAGGTGGCAGTGAGCCAAGATCATGTCACTGCACTCCAGCCTGGGCAACAGAGTGAGACCGTCTCACAAAAAAAAGTAAAAAAAAAATATCTTTACTATTATGATTTTTCAACATTAAATCAATTTAAGATTACCTTATGCCAATGAAAAGAGTCCCTTCAACACAGCTTGCATTCTCAGTCTCAGCTCCAGTTCCTTGATGCGGCCGGTGGTAGCAGCACTGATATTAAAAGTGTCATTTATTTAGTATGTTTCTCAACTGGCTAAGCTGGTATGTGGGTAAGACTTTTTCAGATCACAAACATGATTATATCTCCCCTGCTTGAATTCTTTGCCGTTTAAGGTCCTTCAAAATCCAACCTTTGCTCCCTTTTCCAATTTCATCTTGCCCCTTGTACTTAAGCCTAACCAAATTGTTTCTTCTCGCCCAGCTTTGATACCTGCCCTCTCCTCTTCTGGTATGTCCTCATGTTTGCTCATCAATTTCCTCCTGCCTGCACCACGCCCCTCAAAGTCCATTCTTCAAGGCCATTGATTCACTCATTTATTAAACACAGGACACAATTTGCAGCACTGTGCTCGGTGTTGGGGATAACTCAAGCACGATACAAAGACCAGTACTGCATGGATCTTTCATTCTAGTTACAAAGATGTTAAGAGCACAGACAGGAAATTTTCAGATAGCACGCATTCTCACAGATTACGGTGGGGGTGAGACTTGGAAGATGAGGAGTCTACTCTTCTGTCTAGCCAAAGAGCACTCCAGGGCAATGGGGTAGTAAATAAATGGAAAAGTCCCAGAGCAGGAATGAGCTGTGAGAAACTGGAGTGTTGTGGAGAGGTTGGTAGGGCAGGTCATGCAAGGTATTTTTTCTGTGTAGCCTCACCTGGTCTCTCAAGCACGATAATTGATCCCAGCATCCAGGAAGCTTCACAGGAGAGGCCCCCTTGAAAGACACGCTACACGTACTCTATGAAGCTGTTCCTGATCTGGGTTGTCCCCGGTGATGGCTCCTTCTCTGGATCATCCACAGAAGTCATCTGCCCGTCATCCTCGTACATCATGCCCTTGCCACATTTTCAGTTGTAGACATGCTGTCTCCTCAACTGGAAAGTGAGCGTTTTGAAATCATGGTTTATATTTTCCATCTGTATCCCTCAGAGCAAATATTTCTTGATCCATTCATTCCTCCATTGACTTACACATCCAATAGCCTTTCAGCACCTATGGTATACTAGAGCTATACCAGTGAAAAAGGCAGACAAGAACTCTGTTTTAATGGAGTTTACATTCTAATGGGGGAGACAAGAAATCACTTAAATATATAAACCAGATAATCTCAGAGAAGGGTAATTGCTATGAAAACTAAAATGAGGCCGGCACGGTGGCTCACACCTGTAATCCCAGCGCTTTGGGAGGCTGAGGCAGGCGGATCACGAAGTCAGGAGATCACGACCATCCTGGCTAACATGGTGAAACCCCGTCTCTACTAAAAAATACACACACACACACACACACACACACACACACACACACACAAATTAGCCAGGCATGGTGGTGGGCCCCTGTAGTCCCAGCTACTCAGGAGGCTGAGGCAGGAGAATGGCTTGAACCCGGGAAGTGGAGCTTGCAGTGAGCCGAGATCATACCACTGCACTTCAGCCTGGGTGACAGAGTGTCCATCAAAAAAAAAAAAAAAAAAAAGTCACATTATACACTCATCATATTTTTTATAACACATGGCATTTTATTACCTTATTATGAGAGATCTTGATTGATATGTCCTCTTGACATTCCAGTAACTGATATCCCTTTAGTGAGCTCCAAGTTCGCTAATAGTCATTCCTGCTCTACAGAATTGCCAATAACCAATCCATTATTCATGCTCAGTGAATAACACTATTGCAGGGATCCAGGGTAGCTTCACATAAAAGAACACAATCACTTACATCCAGCCAAGATGCTGGAGGGAGGGAAATCGAACATTTTACAGAAATTGCCTTAATATAATCATCACTAACATCAGGACTCCATTAAGCCAAAAGCTCTGTCTTCATCTCTGAATTCTCAACAGCTGGCCCAATTTCTGTCTTATGATGTCCCTTTGGTAAAGTCCCAACTACTCAGGAGACTGAGGCAGGAGAATGGTGTGAACCCGGGGGGGTGGAGGTTGCAGTGAGCCGAGATTGCGCCATTGCACTCCAGCCTGGGCGACAGAGTGAGACTCCGTCTCAAAAAAAAAAAGAAAAGAAAACACAAATAAATGGAAATATATCTTATGTCCATTAATTAGAACAATTAGTAATTTGGTTTTAAATTTATTTTTATTTTTATGAGTACATAATAGTTGTACATATTTATGGAGTCCCAGTGATATTTTGATACAAGCATACAGTGCATAATGATCAAATCTGGGTAACTGGGATATTCATCACTTTGAACATTTATCATTTCCTTATGTTGAGTACATTGTGAAATATAAAATAAATTACTGTTAACTATAGTTGCCCTATTGTACTACCAAACACTAGATCTTATTCCTTCTATCTAACTGTACTTTTATATCCATTAACCAACCCCTTTTCATATGTTCCTCCCACTACCCTTCCCAGTCTTTGGTAACCACCATGCTATTCACTATCTCCCATTTTTTTAGCCCCACATATGAGTAAGAACATTTGATATTTGTCTTTCTGTGCCTCACTTATTTCACTTAACATAGAAACACTTAACTCCAGTTCCATCTATGTTGCTGTAAACGACAGGATTTCATTCTTTCTTCTAGGTGAATAATATTCCATTGTGTAGATATACCACATTTCCTTTACCCATTCATTCGTTGATGGATACTTAAGTCGATTCCATATTTTGGCTATTGGGAATAGTGCTGTTGCAATAAACATGGGTATGCAGATATCTCTTTGATACACTGAGTTCCTATCTTTTGGCCACATACCAACTAGTGTGATTGCTGGATCATAGCAGTTCTATCGTTAGTTTTATTGAGAAATCTCCATATTGTTTTCCAAAGTAGCTGTACGAATTTACATTCCTACCAGCAGTGTATGAGCATTTCCCTTTCTCCACATCCTCCTTAGCATTCGTCATTTTCTGTCTTTTTGATAATAGCCACTTTAACTCAGGTGCAAGGATATCTCATTGTGATTTTGATTTGCATTTCTGTGATCATCATGTTGAGCATTTTTTTCATGTATGTGTTGGCCATTTGATTTTCTTCTTCCGAGAAATATGTCTGTTGAGATCTTTTGCCCACTAAAAATCAGATTACTATTATTATTATTTGATTGAATTGTTTGAGCATCATGGTGTATTCTGATTATTAATCCCTTATCAGATGAATGCTTTGCAAATAGTTTCTCCCATTCTGTAGGTTATCTCTTCACGTTGTTGATTTTTTCCTTTCCTGTGCAGAAACTTTTTAACTCGATGTAATCCCATTTGTCAATTTTTGCTTTGGTTTCCTGTGCTTTTGAGGTCTTACTCAATAAATCTTTCCTTAGACCAATGTCCTGAAGGATTTTACCTAAGTTTTGTTCTAGTAGGTTCATAATTTTGAGGTTTACATTTAAGTCTGTAATCCACTTTGAGTTGATTTTTGTATATGGTGAGAGATCAGGGTCAAGTTCCACTCTTCTGCATATGGTTACTCAGTTTTCCCAGCACCATTTATTAAACATACTGTTCTCTCCCCAATGTATGTTTTGGGGCCTTTGTTGAAAATCAGTTGACTATAAATATGGGGATTTGTTTCTGTGTTCTCTATTTTGTTTCTTTGGTGTATATGTCCATTTTTATGCCATCACCATGATTTTTATTTTTTATCACTACAGCTTTGTAGTATATTTTGAAGTCAGATACTGTGATGTCTCCAGCTTTGTTCTTTTTGTTCAGGATTGCTTTGGATATTCAGGATTTTTTGTGGCTTTTAGGCTTTTTCTAAATCTGTGAAGAATGTCATTGCTATTATGATAGACATTGTGTTGGGCCTGTAGCTCACATTGGGTAGTATGGACATTTTAACAATATTACATTTTCTAATTCATGGATATAAGATATTTTTTCATTTTCTGTGTCTTCTTGAATTTCTTTCATCAGTGTTTTACAGTTTTTATCGTACAGATCTTTCACCTCTTTGGTTAAATTTATTCCTATGTATTTTTTATTTTTTGTAGCTATGGTGAATGGAATTGCTTCCTTGATTTTCAGATTTTTCACTTTTGGCATATAGAAATGCTACTGGTTTTTGTATGTTGATTTTGTATCCTGCCACTTTGCTGAAATAATCAGTTCTAACAGCTTTTTATTGAAGTCTTGAGGTTTTTCTAAATATAAGATCATGTCATCTGCAAACAGTGACAATTTGACTTCCTCTTTTCCAGTATGGATGCCCTTTATTTCTCTCTTTTTTAATAGGTCTGTCTAGGACTTTCAATAAAAGTGGTGAAAGTAAATATCCTTGTCTTGTTTTCTATCTTAGAGGAAAGATCTTAGCGGACAGTGGATATCTTTGTCTTGTTCTAGATCTTAGGGGAAAGGCTTTCAACTTTTCCCTATTCCGTATGATGTCAACTGTGGGTTTATCATACATGAACATTAATGTTTTAAGGTATGTTCTAATTTGTTGAGAGGGTTTTTTTTTTTTAAATCACAAAGAGATGTTGAATTTTATCAAAATGCTACTTCTGTGTCTATTGAGATAATCACATGGTTTTGTCCTGTATTCTCTCGATGGGATGTATGTGATGTATCACATTTACTGATATTTGTAGGTTGAAGCATCCTGCATCCCTGGGGAAAAATGCTACCTGATCATGGTGTATAATCTTTTTTCTGTGCTGTTGGATTTTGTTTTCTAGTTTTTTAAAAGGAGTTTTGCATCTATGTTCATCAAAAATACTGGCCTATAGTTTTCTTTTGTTGTGTCTTTGTCTGGTTTTGATATCAAGATAATGCTGGCCTTAGAAAAGATTTGGAAGCATTCTCTCTCCCTTTGATTTTTCAGAATAGTTTGAGAATAATTGGCATTAGCTTTAAAAGTTAGGTAGAATTCATCTGTGAAGCCATTTGGTCCTGGACTCTTCTTTTCTGGGAGACTTTTTATTACTGATTCAGTAACATTATTCATTATTGTTCTATTCTGGTTTTCTGTTTCTTCATGGTTAAATTTTGGTACGTTATATGCATCCAAGAATATATCTATTTTACAAGTTTTCAATTTGTTGATGTAAGTTGTTCATAATGGTCTGTAATGATCTTTTGTTATTTCTGTTTCATCAGTTGTAATGTCTGCTTTTTACCTCTGATTCTATTCCGTTTTTTCTTTTTCTTAGTCTACTTAAAGATTTGTTGATTTTGTCTATTTTTCAAAACAATATTTTCATTTGGTTGATCTTTCATATTTTCAGTCTCAATTTTATTTATTTTTTTCTGATTTTTAGTATTTCTCCTTCCTATAATTTTTGGGTTTGATTTATTCTTGCTTTTCTAGTTCCATGAGGTGCATCATTATATTTGAAATATTTCTACCTTTTTATATAGGGATTTATTTCTATAAACTACCCCTTTTAGTACTGCTTTTGCTATGTAACATAAATTTTGGTATATTGTGTTTCCATTTTTATTTAAGAAATTCTTAAATTTTCTTTTTAATGTCATCTGCAAACGGTGACAATTTGACTTCCTCTTTTCCAGTATGGATGCCCTTTATTTTCTGGTGCCTCTGATGACCAGCAGTGCTTTGGACTGGAGTGGAAAGTAGGGCACATCCCTGGGGCCTTTACTTTATAGCCACGTGCAGTAGTCTCTCCTAACCAGGAGTCTTACGAACATTTTTGGAGACTCGACAGGCCAACCAGACCCATGCAACAAGGCACCCTTCTGAGACCTTCATACCTGGCCCCGTCTAAGCAGTCCCCAAGGCCTTCCTGACCACTGGCTCCCATCCAGGATCTCCCTAGTTCCATGGCCCATTCAGATTTATCCTGGCCTCCAGAGAGGGGTTTAGATACAATTTTGCAGGGTGCCTCCTATGACCAATCCCCACTCAGTCCATCAGGAGGAAGGGATGCCCTCCCTGGCCTCCATGACTAGTCTCAGCTACCTAATTGGGAATGAGAAATGTTTCAGGGAGTGCTGTATGCAACTGTGCCCCACACAAAACTGTAGCCATGTCAGAGACCCTTCCTGGAGGCTCCCTGTCCAGCTTTGACTGATGTCTGTAGGGAAGACACACGCTCCCATAGGGGAAGTGAGAAACTTCTTGAAGGCATTATTTGTATTTCCATTTCATGTAGTGCAAATAGTTTTTTAATTTCTCTTGAGATTTCTTCTTCACTCTTATGTTGTTTAGAAGTGTGTTTCTGAATATCCACATATTTTGAAATTGCCCGGCTATCATTCTATTACTGATTTGCATAACAGTTAGGTTCCAGTGTTTTCAGAGAGCAGATATGGTATGGTTTTTATACTTTGAAATGTGTTACAATGGGCTTTATGGCCCAGAATGTGGCCTATCTTGGTGAATGTTCCACATGAGCATGAAAAGAATATGTATTCTGCTGTTGTTAGACTAAGTAGACTATAGATGTAAATTACATCCAGTTGTTTGATGATGCTGTTTAGTTCAACTATATTTTATTGATTTTCTATCTGTTGGATCTGTCCATTTCTGATAGAGGGTGTTGATGTTTACAACTATGATTATGGATTATTTTATTTATCCTTGCAGTTCTATCAGTTTTTCTGCCTCATGTATTTTAACACTCTTGTTAGGCATATACACATTAAGAATTGTTGTATTTTCTCAGATAATTCATTTTTTGTTATCATGTAATGCCTATATTAATCCAGAATTGTTCTTTTCTCTCTGAAGTCTACTCTGTCTGAAAACTAATATAGCTGCTTCAGCTTTATTATTTGTTTTTTTGACAAGTCTTGCTCTGTTGCCCAGACTGGAGTGCAGTGGCACGATCTCCGTTCACTGCAACCTCCACCTCCCGGGTTCAAGCAATTCTCTGCCTCAGCCTCCCGAGTGGCTGGGATTACAGGCGCCTGCCATCACGCCCAGCCCTTTTTTTTTTTTTTTTTTTTTTTGTATTTTTAGTAGAGACAAGGTTTCAGCATCTTGGCCAGGCTGGTCTTGAACTCCTGACCTTGTGATCCACCTGGCTTGGCCTCCCAAAGT